GAGAGAAACTTTGTTTCTGAGGCCTTTGCTAACTTTAATCCACCATTTGACTTGACAGTGATTTATTTCTGGTCTTTGGAGTTGATAAAAGTTCATCTTAAACATCCCCAAGTTGATTCAAAGTTCTGTTCAAATAGTCTTTGTTTTTTGCATGATTTTGTCAGTGATCAGCAGTCATATTAGGAATGATTTGATGGTGCATCATCTCAATAAATAAAGAATAAATGTACGACACAGTGATTGTGAAATGTGTTGACCCCAAACCTCCCAACCTTACTGTCCTGCTAGTGTGAGATAGGGGAGGTGAGTTGAAGAGGTAGATAGTGACCGGAGCCTAGGAGTAATGCCCCAAATGGCAAGTTACAAGCCTAGCTATCCTGTTCTATTTCCAAGTCCTAGGCAAATGTTGAATTTTATTCTAGAGAATGCTCCTGTTTCTTTCCATTCAAAATACACATTCAATAATCCCCTCCCCACAAAAGAAAAACAAAACTTAGAGTAGGATCGCTACTCCTTGCAGAAGACTTCTGTTCTGGTTAGTGTCACATTTGTCTTCCTAGTACCTTAACATTGATCTGTGGTTTAAGAACCTTAACAATCACTCATAACCTTTTTCTATTTCAAGTTATCTTCCATTCTTTAACATTCAGTAGAGCATTCTTAAAGAACGAATAGAGATAATCTCTAAATGAAAAACTGAATCATACGCATACCAAATCTTATCAAGTGGTACTTTTAACAAAGATTCTGTTATTTTTAATAGAAAGTCATTAAACGACATTCTCTCATAGTTCTTGAAACTACTAAAATAATGATTTAAAAAGTTTAATTATCCTATGTACTGTTACAGTTTGTTTTATACTGTAAGTTTACTGCTGTCTCTTGAGAGCTATAATAACTCTGCTGCAGATATTTTAAAAACGGGTTGTATTGATTAACAGTTCAAGAAATGTTGCATATCCAACTGAATTTTAGTTAAGAAGAATAGGTGAAAAGGATCGAAAGAGATGTCTGTTTGACCCCAAGAGGAAAACTTTTCTAACATCTCTGTACAAAGCAGGGATTACTGAGTGATTGTCCCTATTATCTAGACCCTGACAGCATTGAAGAATTGAAGGAAGAAGATGTGCAGAGAGCTAACAAGAAGAGCCTCAAGTAATGTAAAATGACCAGGAAACAGCAACTGGAAACCACACAGTAGAAGGAATATTGTTTCTGCTATTGGCCAATTTTTCTCATTGGCCAAAAGAAGAGTCATAGGACTAAAATGTATGGTATAGGTGTTTTGTTGAGATACAACAAAGAGAGGCAAAACTAAGATTTTGGTCACCTAGTGGTAGCATTGCCTGTAAGTCAGTTTTAATGGTGGTTATTCCATAGAGGAGTATGTATTAAATGCACAGAGAAAGAAATTAAGTACATGCTCATTCATTCACATTTGGCTCACTTTTGTATATCTGTTTACTACCAAAGCATGGTACCTTGTACACAGTTGAGACTCAGCAGTTTACTCATTCATTCACAAAACATATATATCATTTTTTAAGTACCTACTATATTCTGTTGCTGAGGGTACAGCAGTGAAGAAAACAAAGCCCTTCACAGAGCTGACTTTCTGGTATCACCAAGATGATTGCATAATCTGCATGCAACTTAGGGAATCAGTGATCTAAAATGTAGTCATTAAGTGCCCAGACTCTAGAGCCTGATGACAGGCTTAAAAGCTCTGCCACATTGTCACCTACCAGCTGTGTGACTTTGGACAAGTTACTTAACCATTTGTGGCCTCAGTTTTTTTTTAATCAATAAAATCGAAATATAATGAACTAATACTTGTGTGTGGTATACTTAAACATATGCATGTATATACTACATATATATATTAGCTAATGTAAGTACTCAGATTAGTGTTTGGCACTAATAAATGCCATATATAATGACAGGTATCATTCTTATTAAGATAAATTAATCTAAATTTAACTCATAGGCAAACAGTCCTTAGATATAAAGGGTAGAGTCCAGGGAAATCAAGAAAACAAAACTTGAGGTACTGAATTCAAAGAGATTATTGATGTTTGTATTACTTGTTCAAAGAAGATTATAAAAAGCAAGAGCGAGCATAACCCAACAGTGAAGCTAGTTACTTATATTTCTGGCCTTCAATTTCCTCATCTGTGAAACACTGAGAAAGGATCTACTTTGTAGGAGTTCTAGGAGGAATAAAGGAAATGATATGTGTAAAGCACTTGGTACAAGGCTTGGCTGAGAGTGAGCTTTATTAAATGGTGGCTATCAAAGCTGTAACCTGATTATACTCAACTGAACATTATTTATGTAGATAGTTTTTGCCATTGAATTTCAGTTCAAAAAGGATTTAAGGAAACTTTCAATTAGAGCATTTCTAAAAACCATTAAGCATCAGTCACATAGGAAGAAAACTGTGCAATATTTGGTCAAAGCAGGCATATAAAAACTTAATGTTGTTCCAGTGAAAAAGGAGACTCTTCCAGTAAGTTTTCTCAGTCTGTAAACCCTAGTCTAGAAAGAATTAAGTGATTGCCCAGTTAGTTAAATTTATAATGTAGGATCAAATGAAACTAAACTTCCATAGACTTACATTTGAATCATATCCTAATATATTTAAATACTCCATATTGCTAAATTTTGATATTTTTGCATCTGTGTTCATAAGTACAACTGACTTTTTTTTTAACTTTTCATATCCTTGTTTGGGTAACAAGATTATAATTGACCTCATAAAATGAATTAAGCTTCTTTCCTTATTTTTCTGTTTTCTAAAATGATTTTTTTTAAGTGGTATGATATTCCCCTAATACCATTCACTAAACAATTCACAAAATTGTTGATGTCGTTCCTACAAAACTATCTAGGCCTAGGACTTGTTTTTAGTATTGTTACTAATAAATTTCATTTCTTTAACTGTTATTTGATTAATCAGAATTTGTTTCTTCTTGTGCCAATATTGATATTTCTCTATTTGTGTAAAAATAGAGCCATATATCTAGTCATCTTTCAACTTTATTAGCATAAAATTACTCAAAATAATCATTTCTAATTCTGCCTATGTTATATCAGCAAGCATTCACCATTTTTATTTTAAAATTAAATTTATATTTTTTATTATCCTTACCTGAAATTTTTCTTAGTATTTTCAGCTTGTAACATTATTAATTATCTCAAATTTCTGCTCCTTACCTTAATTTTTTCTTTATTTCTTTAGTATCATTATTCTTTGTTTAGCTTCTCAAGTTGGCCAATTTGATAATAATGTTCTCAAAAATGTGAAAACCTATAAATTTCCCTCTAACTACTGTTTTAACATTCCACAAAATTTGTCATGTAGACACTTGGATCATTTGCTTCTAAATAATTGAGATTTCCTTCATAATTTCTTCCTGATTTTCTCTGTAGTCCAAGAGTTTATTAATAATTTAGTTCCTGGGCATATTAAATATATTTTTTATTATTGACTACAGAACTTAAGTTAACATTGTCAGTAAGCTGCAGTTTTTTATTCCAATAATTTGATTTTGGAAAGGCATCAAGAGTGCTGTAAGATGCAGTGTCCACAATCTTAGAACTCGGTCAAGTTTTGCTACTCAGAGAATGTCATGTGCTTTAAGAAAAATTACAGTGCAAAAGAATATGATTTTTTTAAATGTTCACATACATTTTGGTCATTAAATGAAGACAATTTCTTCCTTTTTCTGGAAGGAAACATCTAATGTTTTAATACTAATTTTGATCAAAGTTTTAAAATACTTTGATGAATCTGAAATTGGTTGGCCACAGTAATTTGATGAGAAAAATAGTATGAGTTTCAAAAAATCAGTAAGAATTTGATCAAGAAACAGTTTTACAGTATGTTACATATTATAACTTTGTGCTCATATTCATAAGGAGGCATGAATGTCAAAGAGAAAAAACATTGAATACACTTTAAAACAATTTTGACTCATCTTTTAGCTATAATCTGTCACAAGATCAAAATTGCTTTTTTAATATAACCCCTTTATTTTGAGAACCCATTTTATTTTTATTTTTATAATACTAATATCATTTTAATACAAAGAAAAGCTTTTAAAAGCCCCAATACTATGTAAGTGAGAGTGTTGTTGCAGTACCAATAAAGCATTTGAGTATTACATCTTGGCAGATATTGGATGAACTAACATATTACTAAAAATAAGCAATGAAAATTATTTTTAAAATATGTGAATTAAAGATAAAACACAAAGGGTTTTTAATTTATCAAAATTGGCATCAGTGTATGTATTTTTTAATATAAAACCATTTTTGCCATTTTTACCAGATCACTATTATGATCCATTTGTAAACAGAGAAGATAAACTGATACCAAGAAACAAAAACATAACTTCTTCCTTTAAAAAATTTGATTTTCTATTAAATTCCATCTGAATTATAAAGTTATAAGAGTCTTGATATGCTGTAAATGTGTGATTATATCAACAGGGAAATGTTCACAAATCTGATGTAGTTTCAAAGTGCTAAATATTTTAGTCATGGCTTTGGTAATGACAGTCTATATTATACCATTTTCTTTCTTTCTTTCTTTCTTTTTTTTTTTTTGAAATCAAGATTTATTGAGAAGACAGAAATGCTCCCACAGTGGGAGGGGACCTGAGGGGGTTACCCATTGTACCAGTTTTCTACAAGCAAAGAAGAGACAGCACTGAGGAAATAAAGTTACTTGGTTTAAAGATATGCTCATACATTTAGAAGTTCTGAATCATTATTTGTAGGAAAGAGTTTATAGGAAACTTCCTTTTAAAAGCAGTTTCTTGGTTTCAATGAAAGTTCTATTTCTCTCAATGGTTTGATAATACCAAAAAGGAAAATGCAATAGATTTTGTGATTAAGTGTATTTTAGGATGCACCACCTATTTACCTCAGATTATACTTACGATTCTCTCCTCATCCCTGTCCCTACCTTCCCCTCTTGTTCCTCTATTTCATAGAAAAAATTATGACATCAACATCCAAAGGAGTTCTCCGCCCATTTTTGATCGTCTGTATCATCTTGGGCTGCTTCATGGCATGTCTTCTCATTTACATCAAGCCCACAAACAGCTGGATTTTCAGTCCCATGGAGTCAGCCAGCTCTGTGCTGAAAATGAAAAACTTCTTCTCCACCAAAACTGATTATTTTAATGAAACCACTATTCTGGTGTGGGTGTGGCCATTTGGGCAGACTTTTGACCTGACATCCTGCCAAGCAATGTTCAACATTCAAGGATGCCATCTCACAACAGACCGTTCACTGTACAACAAATCTCATGCAGTTCTGATCCATCACCGAGATATCAGTTGGGATCTGACCAATTTACCTCAGCAGGCGAGGCCACCCTTCCAGAAATGGATTTGGATGAATCTGGAATCACCAACTCACACTCCCCAGAAGAGCGGTATTGAACACTTGTTCAACCTGACTCTCACATACCGCCGCGACTCAGATATCCAAGTGCCTTATGGCTTCTTGACGGTGAGCACAAACCCTTTTGTGTTTGAAGTGCCAAGCAAAGAGAAGTTGGTGTGCTGGGTTGTGAGTAACTGGAACCCTGAACATGCCAGGGTCAAGTATTACAATAAGCTAAGCAAAAGCATTGAAATCCATACCTATGGGCAAGCATTTGGAGAATATGTCAATGATAAAAATTTGATTCCTACCATATCTACCTGTAAATTTTATCTTTCCTTTGAAAACTCAATCCACAAAGATTACATTACTGAAAAGCTCTATAATGCTTTCCTGGCTGGCTCTGTACCTGTTGTTCTGGGACCGTCTAGGGAAAACTATGAGAATTATATTCCAGCAGATTCATTCATTCATGTGGAAGATTATAACTCTCCCAGTGAGCTAGCAAAGTATCTGAAGGAAGTCGACAAAAATAATACATTATATCTTAGTTACTTTAACTGGAGGAAGGATTTCACCGTAAATCTTCCACGATTTTGGGAATCACATGCATGCTTGGCTTGTGATCATGTGAAAAGGCATCAAGAATACAAGTCTGTTGGTAATTTAGAGAAATGGTTTTGGAATTAAAATATTTCATAATTTGCACACTTAGTAAAATATTTTGATGAGATATCCTACAAGTTTTGAGGATAAGAAGAAGAACAACATTCTACTTTTATGTCACGATTTATTTTTATTACCCTTTCCTGGGTAACATATATATTTTGATGGAGATTTCCCATCAAAATGTTTAAGAGCTCAGCATTAGCAATCGTCCCATTTGGTTTTAAATTATCCTGTATATACGTAATTATATGCACTGAAAAGTAATTTATTCTTCACTGTCATTTATAAACATTGCTTGTTTATATTTTTGTAGTCTGTCCGTAATGTAAGTTTGTGATTTGATTATTGTTTCTACACTGATCAGTTGTTTAATCTATTTGGGAAATGAAGATTCACATCTTAAAATCATCATAAAGATTTTCACTAAAAATTATAATCTCTAGTTCCGAGTATTCATACTGTAACAAAGGAAAAACATTGCAACTGAATTCTAACCTCTTTAACTTCGAAGTTGAACAAAGTGTATGACTGTCTCTGTTTGATTTTTTTAAACCTATTTACCACATTTGTGAGGGTAGAATTACTCATGTAGTGAACAAGAAAGATGTGAAGCAGAACTGTTCTCTTCAGGAAGCTATTAGATTTCCCATTTATTTTCATTAAGCTGAATTGCAAATGTAGCTACCTATTCTTGTGATATAAAGTTAAATTATTTGAGTATTTTTAACTATCCAATTTGCTGTGATTTTTCAGCACCTCAGAAATAATCCTAATAATATTTAAGAAACTCTAAGACAGTTCTTTTCCTGATACAATAACACTTCTTATAATAAAACAAATAACTTCTTCAAATGGCAAGAAAAATGATATATACAAATATAAACATATTTATAAATGGTGCCATTTATGAACAACTTTTATTTATCAATTTAATTTTTTTCTGAAACCTCAATATTTAGTTTTATTTTACCATATTGACAAATGAATAAATATAAGATTTGAATCACCATTAAAGACTTATAATAATGAGTCCTATCATTGAAATGATAGAATTCATTTGATTTGAGCCTTACCATTTAAGAAAACCTAAATAAAATTATCATCAAGGTGTTAAATATAATGTTGCTGTATATAATAAAGTGGAGATCTGTAGAAAACACACAGTGTTAACATAGAGTAGGATCTCAATGCATATTAATTGAATGAATTAAAAATGGCACTGGAAGTCAAGTGAATATTCTTGTTTGTTTTAAGGTAGTGACAGTGGCAGTTCTAGCTTAGAGGTACTAACTGGAGATGATGTTTTATATTCCATTTTAATAATTATTCATACATAGCACATATGACCATGGCCTTCAGGGCTTTACAGAACCAAAATTAATTTATCATTACAATAGATTTTTTTTTTATTTTTTTTTGAGTTGGAATCTCACTCTGTCGCCCAGACTGGAGCGCAGTGGCCGCTCCGGCCACCGCCGCCTCGACCTGCTGGGCTCCGGCGATCCTTCCGCCTCAGCCTTCCAAGTAGCCGGAATTACAGGCATGCGCTACCACACCTGGCTGAATTTTTGATTTATTGTAGAGATAAGGTCTCGCTGCCCAGTCGGGTCTCGAACCCGCGGGCTCAGGCAATCCACTCACCTCAGCCTCCCAAAGGCGCAGGATTACAGGCTGAGCCACCGAGCCCGGCTTACAATAGATTTTTTAAGAATGTATCTCTGAACTTGCAGTTGTCTATAGCATTCTCCTCCATAAGGCTAGAGAAGGGAGAGCTGAATATAAGCAGAGATAGTTAGTGAGAAAAGATGGCTACTAAGGATTCTTCAGGGAAAGCATTCCCCAAAATAATCTTGAATACCTTTATTTCATTCAGGCCAAAAATCCATCAAAAGAATTCCAATGTTCTGATGACAACCATTTGGGTCTATTTGTGACTTAATCTAATAGTCCTATTACATGTTGACATCAGCAGAGCTCAAACCCACAATTTTCTATATGAGATAGAAGGAGAGATACATTTCAGTTAAGCAAGAAGGAGGTATGTCCAACAACCCAGACAACCTTGTAGAAAATAAACTAACTTGAGCACTGGAGGGATTTGAGCAGAGGACTATTTCTGCACTGAATAGAGGATTGTTTGATCCCTAGGTTCATTTCTTTAGCCATGATTGAATAGATGCACAGTGTCAGACAGTGCCCTAACTACCACAGCGATAAGATGAACAGATATTATCATTGCCTTAAAGAAGCTTACAGTTAAATGGACAGACATCTGTCAAGCTTCCTTTCAATTCCAGCCTAAGTCTAGGTTTATGATTGCACATACTACTCTCAATGGCGTGTATATGGGTCACTGCTGATTTAATTTTTGTAAATTTGGTATTTTCCCAATTGCTTGGCTACTTGATTATGTTTCTGAGCTGTGAACATTGTCTACTCATTTGACCTAATGTGGATTCCCTCCATATTATCTCTTCTAACCCCTTCTATTAAGAAATAGCATTCCTAGTTGAGTAAAGATTTCCACTCACATTTATTTTATCATTAAAGTGTCAGGTTCATACATTGCTTTTTTGTTTGTTTGTTTGCCTTTCAAAAGTAATGGGAGCTAAAGAAGTGCTGCTAACAAGTTTAGAAATTATTCATGCATAGCACATATGACCATATGTGAAAGCAGGAAAGCATTCAGTATCATTTCAGCCTACTTTTGTTGTAGTGGGTACTCTTGACTTCAAAGAACTGAAAGATCTGAGGGTAGTTGCCTTTATTGTTGACTACAAATGTAGGCTTTCTTGGACTGTGACTATAATCATATGTTGATAATATACCCCAAACCAAGGCAGTACTACTAACTGACTAACTGGTACCTTAAAAATTCATTACCAAAGTCCCAGAAGAATAAGTTTTCTAAATTTGAAGTGCGTAAATGAATGACTCAGCTGAACCCTTCGGTTCTGGGTCTATTGGTCTGTGCAGTTTTAGGGCTAGAAGGAATTATAGCAATGTTTATAAGCCAATCTCTTTTTTCTATTTATGAGTTAAGTAGATCCAGAGATATTATTTATTCAAAACACCTGCACATATTCTCTCTCACACATATGCGTATGCATGCACACACACACATACACACACACACCACAGCTAGTGATGGTAGTTACGATTAGAATTTAAGGATCCTATCTCTCTTAATCCTATTTTTTTCATTGCATTCCACCTTATCATAGAATTATGCCTCAATTTCTATAAATGTGAATGTCTTACTGGTATAATTTAGGGCATGAGAAATGGTATCCTCTATGTAAAATAACTTTGAGTTTTGAAGGTATACAATAAATAAAACATCAAACTTATTGACATTCTTTCTGGCTTAAATATTTTAGGAGTTGCGCTTTAGCAGAAGGAAATAGGCTTTCACTACTTTTAAGTGAAAAGCAACCCTCAAGAAAGTGTATGGTTTTCAGCCACTTTTTTGATAAATCCTGTGGATTACAATTCTTGGTAAAGATATCTCATATGAAAGTTATATTGATTCAACAATATTGGCTTGCTACAGGCATAAAAACAAATAATTGTGCCTGGGGTTAAATTGTAGATATAAAAAGAGAACAGACCATTTAAAATATTTTATTTCAAAATATTAAAACACTATTACCTTCAATGGTCTGAATATCTGAAAATTTAAATATTAATTATTTAGGACTTAGCAAGAATATATAAATATTAATTATTGTAGTACTTGCTAATAGAAATATATGCTAATTTAGCCACATCCAGCAGTATTACACTCTGAAAAAGAAAGACATAACAGTCATATATTTTATGACAATCATATATTTGGCAATATAAAGCAGAAACTGAAAAAATTATCTTAGTCGGAAACAAATACACTGTTAAAAATTTTATATTTACTGTAAAAGTTCTGATAATCCTAGATTGTGCAGAAATTTTTTTTTTTTTTTTGTGAGGGCTTAGAAAGCTCAGAACATTTGATGTGTAAAGTGTCAGAATATTTAGAAATTACTTGCTGAGTCTTTAAATTCTTACCTCCAATTGGAGGTTAACTATTAAAAGAATAGGAAACTATGCTACTGATTTTTTTTGCCTGTCTTTTTTCAAAATAGATTCCATGAGTCTTAAGATAATCACCCAGAAATGTTTTTTGCATGAATTAATGTTACCAAAACAGATTTTAGTTCCTTACATTATGACTTTGTGCTTGATCATATTTTTTAATTCCCCGGAGCTCTGATCTCATTTAGGAAAACCTATTCACAAATTACAACCAAGCTGTTAAATGTAACAAATTTCAGAATCTAAAGAATAAGCACAGTGCCTGATACAAAGGAGAGTCTCCACCAATACTTGAATAAACAAATAAATGAATGTCATTAGTGGTCAAGCAAAAAACCATTTTTTTAAAATGTAGTGTCAGTACCAGTTTATTGGTATCAGTTGGAGATGGTATTTTATATCTATTTTCTTGGTTAGTTTTCTGCCTGAATGCTGAAGGAAGGCATTTTAAATTCTTCCGTCTTACCACATTCTAAAGCCCCAAAGAAGTTAACATTGCAAGATAGATTAAGAAGGATTTGGAACATGTTAACATCCTATTCAAATATCAATAACATATCAACTGTTTCTAATAGGAAAGAAAATTAGTATTTAAGGAGAACATAAGGTGCATGCACTGTGAAGAGCAGTTATTTACCACTAAACTATGCATGGAGAGAAATATAGTGTCCTCCCTAGCTTTATTCCATTGTATTGCAAACATCAGTCAATTAAGATTTTTTTTTTTCTGGACAACTCTCATCTAGAGATCTTGTAGCATTTTGCAAATGAGTGTGCATCACTGCTACCCAAAGTATTCTCCCTTTCAGTAATTCATATTGAATGCATCCATATTCACAAGCATTTTATAAAAACAGTTAACAGAACCTAAATGAGAGATAGCCTGCTAAACCAGAAGTACAAGTGCTACCCTGAAGTACGAGTTCAACAAACTAATTTTGATAAAGCCACTTAACCTCTCTGGACCTCATTTGTAAGTTTCCTTCTAGCACTATTACTCTTGTATCTAAGATCTAAATTGTCATATGCATGAATTTGCAAATGAAATTTAAATGACCATCTCAAAACAATTTTTTGAAGTCAGTTTTCCAAACAGATTTCCTTCTCATTTCTCTGTATAGACCTTTAAAGTATAAAACTGTTTATTTCAATGTATATGTGGGAAGAACCTAATCCAGAGTTGGGAATATAGCATGTGCTCAATTAACTAGCCTGTATTTCCTCTTTCCCCTTAGTTGTCATCCTGTGTCTTTTGTACTTACAACTCACTGAGACCTTAATTGCCAGCAGAAAACTAACCATAGATTGGACGTTATTTTGAAATATTTTACATTTTTCTGTACTATCCAAATTCTTATTACAATAAGCTAACTCATACTGGAAACATTGGAAGGCAATGAAAACACATAAGTCATTCCCCAGCTGACAATAAAATAACATAGTTTAAATAAGCTCACATGAGAACATTTAGAAAATTTTGTTACTTTTAACTCATGATTAATGAGTTCATGTACTTGATTTACTTTGAAAATTTGTAATTTAAAAAGTACATCTCCAACACCAGTAGCCTTTTGTCAGTGTTACTCAAAGCATAGTTCCTGGGTCACCTGATCTCGAATCACCAGAGGTGTTTATTAAAAATGCTGCTTCCTGGGCTCTGACCTATGCAATTCGAATCTCTCCAAATAAGCTCCCCCATTCCCCCAAAAGAGCATGCTTTTAATATATTTCCTAAATTATTCAGTTTCTGCTGTAGTTGGTGAACCATTGTATCCTAAAGCAGTAGTTCTCAAACACATATATCTTTGGGATTTCATAGATTAGGTAAATAAAAATCATTGGAAAGACTGCCAATAAAACACAGCTTCTGAGTCTCTGGGTCTAAGATAGGTCCTGGAATCTTTACTTTTAAAATCTCTCTAGATAGTTCTGATGCCCTGCCAGTTTTGAGACTTGCAGCCCACCTGTTAAATGGAAAGTATTCTATTACTCAATTGATATGAAGTATTAGCTTTCTATAGCTCACTTGGAATCTTCTTAAATACATCAGTAAAGAATTCCTCCACTGTAAGGTTCAAGACATTTTCTATGCCTGATTATTTCATTCATGAGTGTGGAACTCACTAACCAGTCTTGTGATCTGGGTCAGGTTATTTACAGTCTCTAGCTATTCTGTCCAGTTGTGAATAGCTTAGAGAGGTAGTTCTCAGATCTGAATGCACATTAGAATCTTCTAAAGAGTCTTGAAAATTGTGAATGTCCAAGCTCCACCTTCAGAAATCTGAGCTTTTTTGTTTGAGGAAGAACCCAGAAGGCTAACGG